TGGCAGCGACCACGGCAGGGAGCGAGAGGTCCCACCCGACCGCCAGTCGGAGCGCCCGCCTCTCTCGGGAGAAGGCAGGGCACTCCTCCAGCGCGTGCTGCGCGGAATCGAGCTCCGCGCCGCACTGGTGGCAGCCAGGCGTCTCCTCCGCCCGAACCTTCAGCAGGTACTCCCCGAAACAACCATGTCCGGAGAGCACCTACTTCAGGCGGTACGTCAAGCGGCCGTGGCGGCGGTCCATCCATGCATCAAACACGAGTAGGACCGCCTCCACGGCCCGCTGCCGGGCGGCGCCGCTGACCACCAGCTGGCGCCGCCACGCCTCCCTGGCGAGGCGACCGAAGGCTCGCCTCCACCCCTCGACCGCCCCGGGCGGCGGGTCGATGCCCTCCCGGCGGTGTGCCTGCCGACGCCGATAGACCTCGGCGTCGACCACCGCCTGGAGTTCGAACGGCACGACCCGCGCCAGGACGACCGCCGCCTCGTACGACAGGGTGCGGTATCCGCGGGCGATCCTGACGGCCATGCGGCGCTGGATACTGCGCAGCAGTTGCCGGCCGCGCCGGCAGGTCGCCAGGTTAGGCGCCCATACGGGAGACCCGTAGAGCGCCATCGCCCGCACCACACCCGTGTACAGGCGGCGGACTCCCTCCCCCGGACCCCCGAGATTGGGCAAAAGACGACCCAGTAGGGTCGTCACGCCCTCGATCCGGGGGACGAGGCGGCCGAAGTGGCCCTCCCACCTCCACCGGCCGTCCAGGTCGAGGCCGAGGTACTTCAACCTCCCCCCGGCCCGGACGGCCACGTCACCCACCCGAATCCAGGGCTGGGGCGCTCGCTGCGACAGAGGCAGTCCATGAAATAAGTCCACCTCCGTCTTGGGCGGCGATATCCGCAGCCCCAGCGCCTGGATCCTCCTGGCCACCACGGCCACAGCCACCTCCACCATGCGGCAGACCCTGGTCCCGTCCCTCCCCAGCCCGATGATCAGCGTGTCGTTCGCGTAACAGACGACACGCACACCGGGGGGGAGGAGCCCGCGCAACGCCGAGTCATGCCCCAGGTTCCATAGGAATGGTCCCAAAACGGACCCCTGCGGCACTCCTCGGCTCACCCCCCCTGCGCACCAGCCTTCCCCCTTGAACGGGGTACTCGATCTCCCGGTCCGCGAGATAGTCCCGGACGACGGCCCGCAGATACGGGGGCACTCCGCACTCCCGGAACGCCACCGCGTATCGCGCCCCAGCGGAGGGTGTTAAACGCATTGGCTATGTCTAAACTGACAGCCAATGCCACCCCCCCCCACCCCGGGAGACCGCCAGGTCCGCGAGGGCCAGGACGTGGTCGATCGCATCGAGCGTCGACCGGCCCCCGCGGAAACCGTACTGGCATTCCGCCAGTCCGAGACCACCCGCGGACAGTCCCCTCGACAGGCGGGCAGCGAGCACTCGCTCGAACAGCTTGCCCGCCTCGTCGAGGAGACATATCGGCCGGTACGCGGAGGGATCCTCCGCGGGCTTACCCTTTTTGGGGACCAGGGTCAGCCGCCCCCGCTTCCAAAGAAGCGGTACTCGCCCCGACATCAGGCAGCCGTCCAGCAGCCGCCTGAGTCGGGGCCCGAGGACGCGCAGGGCCAGGCGCAGCGCTTTGCCGGGAACGCCATCCGGCCCCGGAGCCTTACGACCTCCGAGGCGCGCGACGGCCACGGCGAGCTCCCCCTCGCTGACCCCCCATTCGGCGGACCACTCCACGGGGTCCGTCGGCTCGAGCGGTCGGCGACCCTCCTCCGGATCGTCCGGAAAGAGGGTGCCGACCACCTGCTCGAGCACGGGGGGGTCCAGACTCTCGGTGACCGGGGGGGCAGCCGGCCGCAATCGTCCTAAGACGATGCGGTACGGGCGCCCCCATGGGTCACCATCAAGAGTCCCGAGGAGCTCGTCCCAGGCTCCCGCCTTGGCCCTCCTGATGGCCGCCTGTAGCGTCACCCTCGCCCGGCGGTAGTCCTCGTACAGCGAGGCTTCCACCGCCGGGTCGCGGTTCCGTCTACGACGGGCCCGGGTGAAGCGACGCCGCGCCGCGTTGCACGGGCAACGAAGCTCGGCGATGGCGCCGCTCCACCAGTACGAGGCCCGCCTCGGGGCCCTCCTGGCCCGGGGCATAGAAGCGTCACACACCGCCGTCAGTGCATCCCGGAGCCATTCGGCCTCCTGATCGACCTCCGCGACCGGCCCGGCCGGAATCTCCGGCCAGGACGCGGCGAGGGAGGCGGCCATCAGGGCGTGCTCCTCCAGGCGTCCGAGCGCCCACCTACGCGGCGGTCGGCTGGCGGCAGGGGGGCGGTCCTGTCGGGCGGCGGATACATCCATCAGGATGTGGAGGTGGTCGCTCAGCGATTCCACCTCCTCCGCCACCCTCCACCCCGTCACGAGACGCGCGGCGGCGGGCGTTGCCCACGACAAGTCTACAATGGACTCGCCCTGCCACCGCACGCACGTGCTCACGGACCCCCGGTTGAGCAACCGGAGGTCCAGTCCTGCCGCCCACTCCTGCACGGCATCCTCCCGCGCGTCGGTCCCGGGGCTTCCCCACAGGGTGGACTTCGCGTTGAAGTCCGCCAGGACCAACATCGGGCGCGCCGGACCACGGGACACCACGTCCCGTATACCGTCCAGCAGCGCCTCGAACGCAGCGAGGGGCATGCTCGGCGGAGCATAAACACCGACCACCGCCAGGCGCCCGCGACGAAACCGCAACCCCCGCGCTATCACGCTCATGGGCACGGTTCCGTCGCTCACCGCCGCCACGGAGCCCAGCGCGTCCCCCGCCCAATCCGGGCGGTCTAGGACGCGGTACGGCTCCGCGGCGACCGTCAACCCCACACCAAGCTCGGCCAGGCTATGTAGGAACAAGTCCTGAGCTCGGGCCGAGTGGTTGAGGTTGGCCTGGAGGATCCCAGTGGGGGGCATGAACACTAGGCCGTGTCCATGGCCTCCCCCCGGCCGGATCCTCCCTCCTCATCGACCGGCGCCTGCCCCGGCCGATCCACCCGCGGCTGCGAAGCAGCAGCCGCGCCCGGCGTCGCCGCCGCACCCGTGCCCAGCACCGCCGTAGCCCCGCCCAGCGTCGCTGCCCCCGCGCCCGGCACCGCCGTAGCCCCGCCCCGCCTGCGCCGCCGCGACGGTGGAGGCGCGCAGCCCTTTCCGCCCAAACGGTGCCCGGCCGGCCGACCAAGGTCGGTACAGACCGGGCACTTGGGGGCCTCGGTGCACTCCCGGGCCACGTGGCCGGTGCCTCCGCACGAGTAACACCGCCCGCCGCGGTCCGCGTCGCACGGACAGCCGCGACGGACGTGTCCCTCCTCGAGGCACCGGAAGCACCGGAGTGGCCGGGCCGCGAGCACCTCCACCCGCGCGGACGACCAGCAGTCGGCCGGCGGCCGCCAGCCTCCTCGCCACGGCAACGGGGCACTTAGCCCACACCCCGCCGAGGCCGGATCGATTGCGTCTAACGACGCCGACCCGAACCTCGGCAGCGGTGCAGCCCCCGGCCGCGGCAATCGCCCCCACCACAGCCTCCGCGGTGACCGACTCGTCAAGGCCCGTCAACCGCACCTCGGCGGTCTTGACGGGCCTACTGTTGCGCACGTCGGTCCCGCGGAATACTTCTTCCATGCGCCGCGCGAGGGCGTCCGCCCGGGCAGCCCCCTCCGGCCCCGGGACCTGCAGTATCGAGGCCCCGGTCTGGCCCTTGCGGTAGCGGAGGTCCGCGATGCCGACGTCCGCCAGGCGGACGCCGGATCCTTTTGGTAGCCTTGACCTAACCCATCCCTTCTCCTTTTTCTCAACCCACGTTTCACTCATTACAAACACATCCCATTCCTCCAAGGCCTTCCAAAATTCACTGTCCTTATTTTTTAACCCCGCTACATTCCAGAAAGGGATTTTACATAGTCTTTTCCTTTCTGCATTTTCCCTCTTTCTTACCTCTTCTCCCCTCCCCCTTTCCTCCTTCACTCGTTTCCCTGCTCCTCACACCATCTGTCTCCTATTTTATCCCATCTTTTCATCTTCCCATTTATCCATATCTTCATGTATCCTACCTGGACATTTTTTACTTTTTTCCTTTCCCTTTCGGCCTCTCTTTCTATCTTCCATCTCACCTTCCTTTCCTCCTCCGTGAGATCGTCATCTATTCTTTCCTTCCTGCCTTCGAGTTTTTTCTTTGCCTCTATCACTTTTTGGCGGTAAACTGTTGACTGGAGAACGTGAAAAGGAAAGGAGAGGGAGAGGGAGCGTTTCGTCCTGTTCCTGCTAGTGGACTCGTCAGTAAGGCACCTAGCAGACCCTGCCTTAGACGCGGGGATATACGATGGTCGGTTAAGGACGTATATATACGAACGAGGAAGGCTTCTGGTAGTTGCGGGAAAGGTGTCAACTCGGTAGACCTCTGATGGCGAATGTAGGAGGTAGTGCCGCCACAACTTTTCTTTTTTCTTCCTTCCCTGTCATTTCCACCAGTACCATTCCCCTCCCCCCTCTCTTCCTACTCTACCTATTTTGGTTACTTCTTTAATCCCCACCTCCTCCAGTCCCATTTTATCCCATAGCATCTTCACTTCCTCCTTCACCTGTTTCCCTTCTGTCTTTATTCCCCTACTCACAACTCCGCGGAATTCCCTCCAGGCCCGAAGCGCGTGACGTGGCCGGTCGCAAGCCGCCGAGCCTCGCATCGTGGGCCCTTCGGAAACCCCGGGTTTATGACACTCGCATCTGCTATGGAGGCCGAAAACGAAAGTCTCGAAAGGAAAAACATGCGTTTACTAAAATTCTAAAGAATAACGGCTTTCTCAAAAATAGCATTGCTAGCGCGCGTGTTATAAACCGAGCCGACCATTTGCACGCCAGATTAAAATGAAGAAAAAATCTTTAATAGCTATGTCTTTAATAGTTGTGGAGATAACACTTTTTTTATAAGAATACTTTTTATAAAAATCGATGAAAATGGGTGAAATCGTAACACATATTTATGATATCCTAATTTTAATTTACGTTTTGATTTGCAGAAGTAATCAGGAAATGGATGCGTTTTTCTCTGGATGTATTATCGTCATCTCAAGGAGTAGAATCATTACAAGAAGATGAAATTACTCTTGCATGTAATATAAAAGATAAATTGCCTCATTGTGATGCCCTACAATTTGACAAATTGTTTCACGAGTTGCAGGACGGGGTATGTTGCATCTTTTATATAATATATTTGTACACAATGTCGTCTAACATCTTTTGTTAATTTTTTTTGTAGCGTATATTCCTTATTTGGTAAGTTAATCGTTTTTAAAAGTATTAATTGTCAACGTTGGATAGATGCTGTTAGCTGGTTAAAGTTTCTTTTTGCAGGTATTGTTCTGTGTACAGTAGAAGCTCGTTTATTGCAGCGTTTGGAGCTGTAGACGGGTAAAGGGTGTAGCAGGAGTTGTTAAAAATCAAAAATGATGAAAAATATTTTTTTCTTATTGAAGTTTTAACGGCACCATATTTATCCTTTCACAGTAGCAACATATTATCATGAGTAGTATCCTCAATTTTTTTGAGCTTTTTTTGTAGTGTGCGCCGTAGTTTAAAAAATCAAAAACCGATTTTTTCCGTGAAAAAGTAACTTATAGTGTGAATTTTTGTATTTCCTTTATTAAATAAGTAGATTATATGATTTCACGTGTTTCTACATTCTGCAAAGTAATATATAAACTAAAAAAATTAAATTAACACAACTGCCTGACACTATACTATATCCCTTATATGTGAAAATATTTAGTCACATACCTCCGCGCTATCGGTAGCTAAGGGCTTGACTGCGAAGCCGCAGCACATTTGACCGCGGGTTGAAGCCCCGCCTGGACTCACTTTCTTTCATTACATTAATTATATTTCTTTTACTTTCTAACTAAATGACAATGGCCAGTATTTATTTAAAAGCACTTTAAAAATAGTTTAAAATATTTTTATTCTAAAATATGTACAAAAATTATTTTGAAGCAGTTTTCATCACATCGTATCTCTAGTTACATATCTTTCCCTATTTAGTTTTAAAAACCTTTATCTTCAATATGACTGCTTGACGTCCACAGTCTTCTTTCTTATTTCGCTGCTTCTCCTTCCACGTGCCCTAGTAATGATAGAATTATTTGCATTTTTCGATACTAAATACATATTAGTATCTTTATATTAAGAATACCTAAGATGACTGGTGTCACTTGCCGTGTACCTCTGGACTGTGTACACCCGCGAGCAAACTCGGCTTCCACTAGGGGAAAAAGCAATGTAGGAGATAGGGCCTCCTACTACTTGGTAAATTTATTTCAAATACTGCAATAAATGTTAACCCGAATGTTAATTTCGCATAAGTTTCAATAACTCCGAGACCAAGTGGTAGGAGGTCTTTCCTTTACATCACTTTTTCCCCTAGCCGTAGCCGAGTTTGCTCGTGAGGATACGTCAAGCAATCGTGTTTGCCTTAAAAACCAATAATTCGAATTTTCGCTATTACTACCCTTCTTATTTAGATAGAGAGTTGAAACTTGGCACAGACTATTTTTTCTTGACAAGCTATTGAATGGTATATTACAAGTCCAAATCGGTCTAAAGGCACTTTTGACCCTCTTATCCTGCTATACCCTTTCCAGGAATACGCACCAAGCGAGCTCCAGTCAGCCGCGCGCTCTCCTCGCCAATCGCCCCTTCACTTGTTCGAGGTAGCTACATATGTATAGGGTATAGGGTGGGCTGGATGTACGCACTGTTCGATCACAGTTACCATTATTGTTTCCGTTATTTTTAGAGATATAAAAAAAGTTTATTCACGAAAGTTAGTGAGTATAGAAATATTGTATTAAAACTATATTATATATACCACAATTTCTGTGACGAAAAATATGGGAGATAACGAGCTTCTACTGTTAATAAAGAATTACAATGAATCCATAATCAATGGAAACAAAAAAATAAAGATTGTACCGCGTTTTCCTTTAGTGTTCCGTACAAAGTCACCTTATGGCACATATGACGGAGTCTTAACATGAAAGAGTCAATGTGTGGTTCTCACAGTAGTGTTGCGGTAGAAATATTCAGTAGAACATGAATTATTGAATTTATTTTATATTTTACAGAAAGAAGTGATAGCTTGATGATCGAAGGTATCTATTCAGATGCCGCTCGACACGAACAAACGTTTTAATGAACATAATTTTAGAATTTGTAAATTGATCGCTTCGCAGGATTCCTCTGATTATAAATTTGAACAGTTTCCAAAATTGATAAAAAAATTTGTTCTTCTTTTCGTAATTTATTTACAGTTACAAATATATGTTTCGTACTAAATAGGGGAACAAACGAAAACTTCTGTTTGAACGTTGCACTTGCATTCCCTTTAAACGAATCCGCAGTTGACCATGTAACCGACGGGCTCGCATCGACCTCCTTCGATCAGCACCCGATGGGGATCGATGCGCACGCATTCTTGATAGATAGTGGGGCATTCCCAATCCGATTCCATTACGTGGATCGCGAGCTCCGTCGATTTCCGCAATGCTATATATCGCTACTGTGCTCTAACACCTAGCTATCTCTGTGTGTGTGTGTCTCTCCGGAGCTCGTTTATGTATTAGGAACGGTTACAACCATCAATGCAACGATAAATCTGCCGTTAACAGTATACTGATAGAGTTGATATTCTTTAATTCTTTCATTAATCTACAAATTGCATAGTACTTTTATTTTACTACGAACAAATATCGCTTTATATTCGTTTGTTCATTTTTTAGCCGTTAAAAAACAGAACACAGATTCTTATATTTCTGATGAACATGTGTCACTCGGCTGATCAACTCAAGAAAAGAATATTCTCAGTTCCTGACTTGAAACTTGGTTTAACGTCGTGTGTTGCATCATCTAGTGGTAAGTAATTTCAAAATATTATTTCAATGGTTTTGTATTTTTTAATTTTCAGAAAATTAATGCAAAGATTATGATTTTGTTGCTAATATTGATCGAACATGACCTAAAGACGATCGACTCCTGAATCGAGATTTTGAATTATCTCGTATATTCGAGTATCTTATGAATACCCAGGTAATCGGGTAATTTTTGTTTACCCGGGTACCTCACGAGTATCTGGGCATCCGGATATCTCAAAGTGCGTACTCACTAATGAACAATGTTTGCAAACAGTTCACGAACATTTTATAATCATTACTCGATCTTTTCGCGAACACTGTTCGCGTACAATTCCCAAACAGTTCCTGAACACGTGTGAATATTCTGTTGCACCAGTCTGTCAGTTTCTTGACAGTAATCAGTTCGTTGTCTGTATTCGTTGCGCACTTGATATTTATGTAAACCAGAAATTTTTAAAAAAGTGTCGATAAGATTAATTTAAACTTGTAACAAATTATCAGTTGGTACGCAAGCACAGGTGTTAGCTTTTGCTGGTTTTTTGGTTATCCATCTGCTAACTCAAAAGAAAAAGCATAAGGGGGGAGACTCCTTTGGAACCAACTCCGAATCGATCGAAGCGCTGATCTAAACAATTGGACGCCAGCGGAAACACATAATCGATATTTGGGACTGTGGCGGATTCCCACAGTACTCTGTTCTCTATACGTATTCTGAGAACTTGGGGTTTGATGGTATATACAGGGTGTCCCAAAAATGTCCTCCGACCCGGAAATGGGGCACTCTGGGGGTGAATTGGAAGAATTTTTGCCTTAGCAACAAAGTAAACTGAGGCTTCGTTACCGAGATATTAACGAAAAACCGCGACCAATCAGAGCGCGAGTTTGCCAGCCGAGTTCCCGCGCTAGCGGTGGCTACGCGCTACGCTTGTACTACGATGCTCCGAACAAGTAGGTCACCATGCATCGCAGGAAACCGCGTATAATAATAGCAAATAAACAAGACGTAACAAATAAAATCATACTTTTTATCATCTGTCGTTTGTTATTTAAAGAGATTAATGAATGAAACGTAAATGTAGGCAAATTATGTGTCACGTAAAAAGACGAATGCACATTTACTTTTTTGTAAATTCCTTTTTACGAATTTGTAAATTTCCTTTTCAAATAACGTGTGAACGAAAAGGTAATGTAACAGAGAATGAACGAGAAGTGATCGTAATTCGGTATTGGTATAAAAATTCGTAGTTTAATAACGGTCAACAATGTTACTGATAATGAATAAGTTTCTTCGAAAAGCCCGAAGAAAAAGTTAGGTACAGAAACTTGCAGAATTATCGCAGGAAATAAACCATAGCTTGCGTTACATTAAGAAAATAATAATCAGCCATAAATTGAATAAAAAACCCTTTCGGAAATTCACCTGCAGTTTGCAAACCTGTGTCACTAGGTCACTGAACCTATGTAACCTGTATCGCCCAGTTCGCAGGTGATCGCAGGTATACCTCACCAGCCGAAGTTAAGGGTTGTAACGTCAAGTGCGTCCTGGTTATTCCTCCGAATACGTACTCACTTCACTGCACGACCACTAACACCGATCACCCGACACAATCTCTTAATGTATTTTTAATCCAATGTGTTGTTACTATGTTAGGAAAATTCGTGGCCCCGGAAAGGGCATATTGTTTCGAATTTTTCAGATGTTTTACAAACACTTGCACAGCAACATCCGCATATCCGTTATAGTGTACGTACCACCATAACATTGCGTAATACTCCCGTGAACTGAACATCTCTGTCGCCCGATTGCTAACCGACTGACAGAATTTTTCCTCTACCCCCAAGTAGTTTCCCATCGTTACATTGTGAGTTCACTCCCACCATGACAAGATTTAGGTAGAAAGAAACCAACGGTTCTAGGATAACACGTGCTTTGCAGAAGTGGAAGGAAAGGACCGTCGCGCAGTTTCTCCAAGGCGCCGTAGCCCGTTAATTTATTGCCAGGGTACCTACTCCTTCGAGATAGAAAACAGACATCACGTGCATCGGCTTAAAAATGTCCGAAATGAAGAGGACCATCAACGTATCCCTTGCTTCGAGTTGGAAAGTACAGTGTACATTGTCTATCTCGAGGAGCAGGGAAAAAAATTTACCGACACGTGTCAGTTGACGCTGCAAGGCCCTGGACGACCACCCTTGTAGAGGCCGGAGTGGAATTTTCGGTTATTTATGGCTTAAAATCTTCGGCCTCGTAGCAATCGTGAACTCACAACAGAATTGACAATCGACAATTTTATTACAACTTTGTGAAATTGTAGTTCTCATGAAAACATTTCATACGTATTTTCTTTTTTAGTATTCTGTCAAATATCTCGGGAATTATTAGAAATATAAAAACCGTATTCGTTAAATTCTTTTCCGTGAAATAAGCCTATCGGTAGGGTCATGCGGTTCATATTAACGTACTAGTAACCCATTGAAGACAGCGGTGCGCCCCGGTTCAGGTAAAAGAATCGGGCCCTCCACCATTACAGTCGACTGATGGTATCGCTAACGCTCCAGACTATTTCAATGAGATTAAAAGCTATATCAAAGTGTCAATGATTTATGGAAAAGAGTTCAACGAATACGGTAGTATTTTTTTTGGATTTACCTGCAGCGCGCTCTGTCAGGAGTCGTCGAAAGATTGTTTAAAGAAAGGGATTATTCTGGAATTCAATGATATAGCTACATTCAATATCAAAACAAACACAATATTGCAAATTGTACGGTTTTTATATTTCTAATAATTTCCGAGATATTTGACGGAATACTAAAAAAAAAAAGGCCGAAGAAATTGAGCCATAAAGCACCGAAAATTCCACTCCGGCCTCTACAAGGATGGTCGGCCAGGGCCTCTTCATTTCGGACATTTTCAAGCCGATGCACGTGACGTCTGTTTTCTATCTCGAAGCAGTGGGTACCCTGGCAATAAATTAACGGGCTACGGCGCCTTGGAGAAACTGCGCGACGGTTCTTCCCTTGCACTTCTGCAAAGCACGTGTTATCCTAGAACCGTTGGTTTCGTTTTACCTAAATCTTGTCGTGGTGAGAGTGAACTCACAATGTAACGATGGGAAACTACTTGGGGGTAGAGGAAGCCCTTTCGGAAAAATTCTGTCAGTCGGTTAGCAATCGGGCGACAGAGATGTTCAGTTCACGGGAGTATTACGGAATCTTATGGTGGTACGTACACAATAACGGATATGCGGGTGTTGGTGTGCAAGTGTTTGGTTACGTAAAACATCTGAAAAATTGAAACCAATCGGCCCTTTCCGGGGATACGAATTTTCCTAACGTAGTAACAACACGTTGGATTAAAAATACATTAAGTGATTGTGTCGGGTGATCAGTGTTAGTGCAGTGCAGTGAAGTGAATACATATTCGATGGATTAACCCGGCGGCACTTGACGTTGCAACTCTTAACGTCGGCTGGTGTCGCATACCTGCGATCACCAGTGGCATGGACTCTACCCTGCCATAAACCATTTCGTCCGTCGATGCCCAGGCTCGGTACACTGACCTACTGACGCAGGTTTCTACGCTGCAGGTGAATTTCCGTAAGGGTGAGTTCTATTCAGTTTATTGGTCATTATTGTTTTATTAATTTCACCGAACTACAATCACTGCTCGTTTATTTTCTGTTAAATTACCTTTTCGTTCACACGTTATTTGAAAAGGAAATTTACAAATTCCTAAAAAGGAATTTACAAAAATGTAAATGTGCATTCGTCTTTTTACGTTACACATAATTTGCCTACATTTACGTTTCATTCATTGATCTCATTAAATAACAAACGACAGATGATAAAAAGTATGATTTTATTTGTTACGTCTTGTTTGTTTGCTATTATTATACGCGGTTTCCTGCGATGCATGGTGACCTACTTGTTCGGAGTTTCGTAGTACAAGCGTAGCGCGTAGCCACCGCTAGCGCGGGAACTCTGCTGGCAAACTCGCGCTCTGATTGGTCGCGGTTTTTCGTTAATATCTCGTAAACGAAGCCTAAGTTTACATTGTTGCTAAGGAAAAAGTTGTTCCAATTCACCCCCCGAGTGCCCCATTTCCGGGTCGGAGGACATTTTTGGGACACCCTGTATAATAATCAACTCGTGAACTGCGCTTTGTAATTGACTTTATTAAAACACGTGTCTACTCGTAGGAGTTTTTCATTAGACTTCCTGCATTCTGCATGAACAGTCAATACAGCTCTAATAACCCATAAATATAAAAATCTCTATGAGCTAGGATCTTTGTCTTAAGAACTATGTTACAGATGGCGTATGTGCTACTTGCACAGACGTACGCCACATCCACTCTCCTCCTACATATTTCGCTATAACAATATAAAAATATAAAAATATTTACAACAACGATAGAGAGAAAAAAAAATTAAACATTAAATGTAACTCTCTTTGGTCTTTGATAAGTTCTTAATTGTAAATCAGTCTCTTCCCGTATTTTTTCAATAAATGCCGGTTTTAGGCGTTTTGTGGTAATGTTTGTATGTTTCCCTTTGTAATCTATTTTAAAAATTCGATCCGTGATCCTTTCGACCACTGCAAAAGGTCCTTCAGACGGTACTTCCAGTGGTCTTTTTATTGCATCTACTCGTACGAAAACATGTGTACAATCGTACAATGATTCATGTATGAAAGATGTTGGTTTAATGCGGTGCGGTGTTGGCACAGGTCGGATTTTCCTTATATGTTCCCTGAACTTCTCTATGAACATTTGCGGATTGGTGAATGATTCTTCTTCTAAGAAAAATTCTCCTGGCAGTCGCAGAGGTGTTCCATACAACATCTCTGCTGCGGAAGCTTTAATATCTTCTTTGAAGCTTGTTCTCAATCCTAGTAAAACTGTAGGTAAAACCTTGACCCAGTCTGGATTATTTTCACATGCTATTGCAGTTTTTAGAGAACGGTGCCACCTTTCAATTAAACCGTTGGCTGCTGGATGGT